ACCCTTCCTGGGTCGTCTACTGATGTACAAGGTCAGGTAATACTGACACACCTTCCTGGGATCGTCTACTGATGTACAAGGTCATGTAATACTGACCAACCCCCTGGGATCGTCTACTGATGTACAAGGTCATGTAATACTGACACACCTTCCTGGGATGTCTACTGATGTACAAGGTCAGGTAATACTGCACACCTTCCTGGGATCGTCTACTATGTACAAGGTCAGGTAATTACTGACATACCTTCCTGGGATCGTCTATGATGTACAAGGGGCAGGTAATATGACATACCTTCCTGGGATGTCTACTGATGTTCAAGGTCAGGTAATACTGACAACCTTCCTGGGATCGTCTACTGATGTACAAGGTCAGGTAATACTGACATAAACCCTTTCCTGGGATCGTTACTGATGTACAAGGTCAGGTAAATTTCTGACATACCTTCCTGGGATCGTCTACTGATGTACAAGGTCAGGTAATTTCTGACATACCTTCCCGGGATCGTCTACTGAGTTCAAGGTCAGGTAATACTGGGCATACCTTCCTGGGTCGTCTACGATGTTACAAGGTCAGGTAATACTGACATAACCTTCCTGGGATCGTTCTACTGATGTACAAGGTCAGGTAACACTGACACACCTTCCTGGGATCGTCTACTGATGTACAAGGTCAGGTAAAACTGAATACCTTCCTGGGGTCGTCTATGATGTAAAAAGGTTTAGGTAATATGACATACTTCCTGGGATCGTCTACTGATGTACAAGGTCAGGTATACTGACATACCCTTCCTGGGTCGTCTATGATGTACAAGGTCAGTAATACTGACATACCTTTCCTGGGATCGTCTACGATTTTACAAGGTTTAGGTAAAAACTGACACCCTTCCTGGGATCGTCTACTGATGTACAAGGTCAGGTATACTGACATACCTTCCTGGGATCGTTCTACTGATGTTACAAGGTCAGGTAATTTCTGAATACCTTCTGGGATCGTCTACTGATGTACAAGGTCAGGTAATACTGACATACCTTCCTGGGATCGTTTTACTGAGGTACAGGTAGGGAATAATGACATACCTTCCTGGGAAACGTTACTGATGTACAAGGTCATGTAATACTGACACACCTTCCTGGGATCGTTACGATGTACAAGGTCAGGTAATACTGACACACCTTCCTGGGATCGTCTACTGATGTACAAGGTCATGTAATACTGACACACCTTCCTGGGATCGTCTACTGATGTACAAGGTCATGTAATACTGACACACCTTCTGGGATCGTTCTACTGATGTAAAAAGGTCAGGTAATACTGACACACCTTCCTGGGATCGTCTACTGATGTACAAGGTCAGGTAATACTGACATACCTTCCTGGGATCGTCTACTGATGTACAAGGTCAGGTAATACTGACATACCTTCCTGGGATCGTCTACTGATGTTCAAGGTCAGGTAATACTGACATACCTTCCTGGGATCGTCTACTGATGTACAAGGTCAGGTAATACTGACATACCTTCCTGGGATCGTCTATGATGTACAAGGTCAGGTAATACTGACATACCTTCCCGGGATCGTCCCATGATGTACAAGGTCAGGTAATAAATGACATACCTTCTGGGATCGTCTACTGATGTTCAAGGTCAGGTAATACTGACATACTTCCTGGGATCGTCTATGATGTACAAGGTCGGTATACTGACATACCTTCCTGGGATCGTCTTACTGATGTACAAGGTCAGGTAAACATGACACACCTTCCTGGGATTTCTCTACTGATGTACAAGGTCAGGTAATACTGACATACCTTCCTGGGATCGTCTACTGATGTACAAGGTCAGGTAATACTGACATACCTTCCTGGGATCGTCTACTGATGTACAAGGTCAGGTAATACTGACATACCTTCCTGGGATCGTCTACTGATGTACAAGGTCAGGTAATACTGACATACCTTCCTGGGATCGTCTACTGATGTACAAGGTCAGGTAATACTGACACACCTTCCTGGGATCGTCTACTGATGTACAAGGTCAGGTAATACTGACATACCTTCCTGGGATCGTCTACTGATGTACAAGGTCAGGTAATACTGACATACCTTCCTGGGATCGTTTTATGAGTACAAGGTCAGGTAATACTGACATACCTTCCTGGGATCGTCTACTGATGTACAAGGTCAGGTAATACTGACATACCTTCCTGGGATCGTCTACTGATGTACAAGGTCAGGTAATACTGACATACCTTCCTGGGATGTCTTACTGATGAACAAGGTAAAGGTAATACTGACATACCTTCCTGGGATCGTTTTACTGATGTACAAGGTCAGGTAATACTGACACACCTTCCTGGGATCGTCTACTGATGTACAAGGTCAGGTAACACTGACACACCTTCCTGGGATCGCCCAACCACCAAAATACATCTAGTTAATTTTAGGTCTTAATGTACATAAGTATTGCTTGTTTTCAACTTCATGTGTTAAATAATAGATTTATTTAAAAATTATGACTATCATAATCATTTTCTGATAGATAAATTTCATGTAGCTTCTTTCAGTACTAAACTGAATAAACTTACATATTTATACTAATTTTAATTTTTTTTGAACATTGAAGTAAAAACACTGAAAAATAGGAAATAATCTATTATTTAACACATGAAGTTAAAAACAAGCAATACTTATGTACAATAAGACCTAAAAATTAACTAGATGTATTTTGGTGAATGGTAAGCCAGGGAAAGGTCTCGGTCAGATGACCAAAAGCTCCAGCGGCGGGTCATCATACAACTAAGACCCGCATCAGGAAATACTTGTCATGTTTATTGACAAATCTTACCTGAAGTTTAGAACTATACTATAGATTTTGATTTTCGTCAGTTACTACAACAAAGTACGTTTTTTTTTCCTCAATTTTTATTTTTTTACACCTTTAGTTAACACCATTATGAGTGATGGATTATTTATTTAATATTTAATGTAAATGAAATTTGTTCAAACTTATATTTTCTTAATATATTTCTGATTACATTGTCATCATAATCATGAAGTTAGTTTTGTGAGGGGGAAAAAGTTCATTAGATAAGAGTGGAAGACAGAATGACTGGTAGTATGACTGTTCAGAGAGAGGTATGTGAGCAGTTAACTTCCCCCTCCCCCTACCTTCATCCACCCGGTGAGAGGCAACAACGGACCCTCGCGGAACAGCGTCACTTGGCTTCCTGCTCTCATCACTCATCCACTCTCATCCACTCTTCAATATTTAATGTTTAGTTTTTGCTTTCTTAATTTCATAGACAAGAGATACATTGTTAGTTTTTTTTTTAATTTATCCGGACTTAAGTAAAATTACGTTAAAAGGTAATATTTAGTCACCATTTATTTTAAGGCCTTCAGCTGTCATGTGATGATCTTGCACCATTTCTTGTGGTAAGGCCTCACCTCACGGTGACGAGCTGCCTTTGTTTACCTGGGTCTTGACTGGAGAGAGTTCGGGGGTCACGCCACCAGGGCCGGTCTGTGACCAGTCTTACCTAGAGTTTACCTGGAGAGAGTTTCGGGGGTCAACGCCCCCGCGGCCCGGTCTGTGACCAGGCCTCCCTTAGGTCAGTGTCCCAGGATGCGACCCACACCAGTCGACTAACACCCAGGTACCCATTTTACTGATGGGGAACATAGACAACAGGTGGAAAGAAACACGTCCAATGTTTCTACTCTAGCTGGGAATCGAACCCAGGCCCTCAGCCGTGTGAAGCGAGACCGTTAACCACCAGGCCACCAGAGCCCCTAAATGTAATAATAGATCAGAAACAAAAGAACTTGAAATCTTGGGAACTGCTGTTCCTTCATCTCTGGTCTACCAGTCCACTACTTTATGAAAACTGTACTGTGCAGGTCCACGATCTTGTCAAAGGCCTCATCTTGGGAACTCTACTGTTCCTTAACCTTTGCTTTGGATCTACACTCCTGGCTCATCACGAGATACTGCTGTTACCCTACTGGGCAAGTCAAAAGCCTTGCTTAATAACTCTTTCTATACCAAGATGACAGAGTTGCTATCTCAGCAACATAGAGGAACTTACCTTGTTATTTATACTCAGTTGCCGAGTTCCAGTTGACTATTACAACCGGCAGCTAACTCAGTTGCCTAAGCCGTTAGCTTCACACCTTCATAAGCATTGTAACCGTCTGGTGCTGGACCTCACAATAGTCACGACCTCCTGTGACCTCATTTCACACTCTCCAGCGTCCCATTACACGCCAGCCATTCCTGTGAGCCTTGCCATAACACCGCCACTCGGAAGATCTTTTTGTACACATTACACTTGTTCATTTGATTTACTTATCATTTAATTTTCATCAATTGCTTCAGTTACCACTATTTCATAGTTAATTGGTTAAATATTTTATATTTTAAGTTATTTATTTATATTTAATAAAGCTGTTTTTCTTATTATGTTATAATTTTTAATAAGGAGGACGGGGCTCCTTCAGAAGCTCTTTAAGGGTTTTAAGGGCCCTTAAACCTTCAGATTTTTTTCACATTGTAAGTAATGATGAATGACATCTCAGGGAAATTAATTTATTTAATGTTTAGCTAATGAGCAATAAAATATTTTCTTTTATACAGAAGATACTCATAGTAATTTTAAAAATGAAAAATGTAGGAAAATATCGGTGTCGGTAATAAGATGAGCAGCTGTGATGTGTACCACCAGGCCTTGTGGTGGATCAGAGCCTGATCAACCAGGCTGTTATTGCTGGCCGCAAGCAAAATGACGTACAAACAACATCCCGGTTAGTCGGGAAGTAACTTAAGTTACTTGTCCAGTGCCTTCTTCAATACAGTCAGTGGTCTATTGGTAATTGCCCTTATGTATGCTGCTGTTTATATGCATTTTTCTTATTCCTGTAGCTCTTTGTTTTACGAATAACTTTATAATTCATTACTAAATAATAGAATCAGTGTGATAAGGAACCATGAACAAAGCTTACCCGATACACCTCCGAATCTGGTGGCGACGGCGTCCTCTGCTGGCAGTGGCAGGTCGAACATCCCCACGAACTCGGAGATGTTGGAGATGGAGTTAAGACGAGACAGATTCTCTGTGTCCAGCTGCCGAAGGTAAAAATAAATAATACTTGTTGACACAAAGATGAGTTGTTATCAAAGGAGAAAATGTTCAATACTCGAAATATCTACATATTCCCAATTCTCGGTCTATACCGATCCCGATATTTTCCAATGTATTTTTAAATTTATTATGACTGTTCAATATACTAGGGAATGTTTATTTCACAACTCATCTTAAATAACACAGTGTATTTACTAAATACCTTAATTACTTTAAGGAATGAAAAATTAAGTATGTTGCAGAAAGCGGTGCCTAATACATTATATTCAAAAGCATTGAGTGCATTCAGTGTGTATCTGTTGTTGGAAGCCGAGGTAGGTAAAATATTCTGCAATATTTATGTATGTGTAGGATGAGAATATATATATATGTCGTGCCGAATAGGTAAAATTAGTCAATTAGCAAGAACTCATTTAAAATTAAATCCTTTCTAAATTTTTCCTATACGTTTATGTTAATGTAAACATTAATGATTTTGTACCAAAAGAACCCTAGAAAACTTGCCTAAATATATTTTGGATAAGTTTACAATAATTTAATAATAAATACAATGAAATATATTTTTTCCGTTAGGTTCAGAATGATTTTTGCGAAAACATTGCATACACAAATATTCGCTTGCCTTATTCGGCAAGAAGTGCGTTGCTATTTGAGCCAAAATCACAAGTTTTACCTATCGGCAAGACATATATTAATGAAATCACGAAACAAGTGAATCATTAAGGGGGGTTCCTTGGCGCGGTGAAGAGGCTATTTTTCTGAGGAATTAGACTTTGTGGTCCTATTCCTCAGTCCGAACTCCCCAATCCCCCATTCCCTTTCCTTCTCCTCTCCCCATCCCTCCACTTTCCGTTTCCTGTTTCTGCCTTTCAGGTTGTTCCCTTAAGCTTTGTAGTTCCTAGACCTGAGGAGTAGTTCCTGGGTCCATCTCCTTCCGTTGAGGTCCTTGGTGGTAGTGTAATTTCCCGTGGAATCTGCATCATCTAGAGATCCCGATCTCGATCAATCTCCAATTTACCGGGGAGGAGGCTTTGGGTGTCTTTTAGTTGAGGAGTATATCTCTGGAGGCTGCCTGTCGGATTCCAGGTGGTGGTGGCCGAAGTTACGCTTTGTGGCGGGTTTTCGATCACCTTCCCTCTTGTCCACCGACTTGGTTCGGTGGATGTGAGGTTGCTATCCAGAATTGCTTGTTTACTGGCTTGATTGGGAGGGTATAGCACGGGTTCCATGCTACATCTGCACTACCGGCAGTGCTGAGGTTTTCTTCTTGGGCACAGAAGGGGAGACTTGCGGTCCTTTATCTTTGGGAGCTGCCCCTCCACGCTTCCCCCGTTTTTCTTGTTTTCTTGAAAACAGGAGAAAAGAGTGACCTAACCATGGATTCCTAAGTCCATGGACCTCCTCCTCCTGTGCCACTTCCTGTAGTAGTACCCTCTGACTACCCTGCCTTGTTACCGGACCATTCTTCAGACCTTTCAACAGCCCCTATATCTTCCGAGTGACGTTGTCCCACGCTCTGGATACTGAGGCTCGGCCTGATTCTTTTGACATCTCTGACCTCCGCACGTCTTTGACTATGTTTCCGGCCTCTCCCCATATGGTGCGACGGTTTTCGGATCGCGTGCCCGCCTCAAAACGGACAAACTGCGGTCCTGTATTTAAACAACCACAACTTTCTGATGACACTATTTCGATGTTTCTCACTCTACTCTTAAAAGACAACACAATAATCACTTCCTTTACATACTATGCATCGTAGTACACAATGGACGAAGTTTCTCACTCTACAACCGACATCATCTTCAGAATATCTTTCTGATCATAGTATCAGTAAGGCGCTCCTAAGCCATGTTGGTCGTAATATTCCGTTTCATGAAGTCAAGAGCAGTGCACGAATCTTCACAGTACAGAATGCTAGCCAAGCCCATAATCTTTCTCTCTTTACAACAATAAATGAAATTCCTATAACAACTGCAAAACATCATTCTATCAATTCTTGTAGTGGTACTGTCATTCTATTTTATACCATTGTTCATTGCAATTTGCAGACATGTGGTGTTGACATTCTGGAACAGCTTGAGCTTCAAGACCTCCCAATCCTTAAAGTAGACAAATATGCACTGCCTGCCTAAGAGCGGAGACGTTATCCTTGCAATATAGCTTGCTTAACTTTTGACTGCCGTGAGCTACCATCATTGGTTTTATGTTGCGGGACACCGTTTAGGAGTCTGACAGGTGACCCTTACACCACAACAGTGTAGAAATTACTGCCGTTTTGGCCATCCAGTGAAATATTGCAGGTCCATGGCTGAATGCTCAGTCTGTGGGGCCGATGACCATAATAATACATCTTGCCTTAATTGTCACGAAGCTCATCCATCTTATTCTCGTCGTTGCCAGGTTTACTTGAATGAAATCTGTTGTTTCAAAGAGACAGAAAGGTTTACTTACACCATGGCAGTCTCTCATCTACGCCTCCAGGTGAGACTTACCCGTATTTCTTATTCTCGAGTTACTAAGAGACCCCAACCTCTGGGGTCCGAATTCCCGCGGTCTCCCTTGCTGTCACACCTTCCACAGTCACCTCTGTATCTAATTATTTTGCAGTCCTGGACTCAGAGGTTCTTACCTCATCATCTACTGTTCTCCAATCTTCATCTCACATGCAAGCTTGTAGTATGTCTACAAGACCTTGCACGGCTCCTTCTCCTCACCTTTCTACTTCAATGTCCAACAAGTCCCGAAAGGGTAAATCTCTTTCATTTCCAGTCTCAGTACCTGGATCTTTACTTCTTCTTTGTTGCGTTTTGAGTGTGGAGGTCCATCCTCCCTCTCGTACAGCACCATCTTCTTTTGTCCCCTCTCAAGTTTCTCCTTCTCCTGTCTCCTTCCAAGATCCTCAAGTTACCTCTAACCTCTCGTCCTTGCCCCCTAAGTTGGTAAATTCCGCCATTGCCCCAAACTTTACTCACCCTCCTCCTGCTATCTCCAATATTGTCCCACATACAACGTCCTTGACCTCTGAAATACATGAAGCTATTTCTGACTATATTGCAGACTAAACCATTGATGTACACTGACCCCCATCCTCCTTTCGCTCCTCTTCACTCTTTTCCATCTGCACAACTTTCTTCGCAGCATGCCAACCCTTCACTGTTCGTTTTCCTCTGCCTCCACATGTGGACTTTTCTAACCTTTCCAATTCTACTTACCAATTTCTTGGCTTATTTACAGGATATTCCACTGGCTTATTTACAATGGAATATCCGCGGCCTCAGAGGTAACCGGGGTAAGCTTCAGGTGTTTCTGTCTATGTTTTCCCCTATTTGTGTTTATTTACAAGAACCCAAATTATGCTCCGCTGTCGTCAACCCCATCTCGGGCTATGTTTTATTATATTCATTGGATCCTTTTCCCAATGGAATCTTTAATGAAAGTGCACTCTTATATGCACCGGTATTCTACACCATCAGCTCTTTGTTCATACTTCGCTGCATTACACTGCAGCCCACATCCATTTGAATAAGTGGTATACAATTTGTTCTTTGTATCTCTCTCCTTCTCGGGCATTAACTATCCCAGATGTTACAATTCTGGTTTCTTCCTTACCCCCCACCACTTCTGTTACTTGGCGATTTTAATGCTCACCATTTCCTCTGAGGAGGGGGTCTCATTGTGATTCCCGTGGCATTCAGTTAGAGGCATTTCTCGCTTCTCACCCCTTCCATGTTTTAAATACAGGTACTCCCACCCATTTGGTCCTCGTACTCATACTCTTTCTTGCATCGATCTCTCGGTCTGCTCTTCCTCAACTGCACTAGACTTTACCTGATCTGTCCTCCCCGACTTACATGGCAGCAATCATTTTCCAATCATCCTTACTTTTCCTTCATATTCACCATCTCCTCGTAGCCCACGCTGGCAATTTGATCAAGCGAGTTGAGGCCTTTACTCACGTCAAACTGCTTTAAGTGTGGATCCTTCTTCGTCCTCCAGTGATGAGCTTTTACACCTCTTCTCGACCTCAGTTTTAATAGCAGCGTCACATTCTATACCCAAAACCTCGGGCAGGTATTCTCAGAGGTGAGTACCTTTGTGGTCTCCTGCTTGTGCTCGGGCAGTACATTTGAAACACTCTGCGTGGGGCAGATATCGGTACAATAGAACCACAGAGTGACTCATTGATTTTAAGCAGCATAGAGCGGTCGCCCGCCGGGTCATCTGTGACGCTAAATTCACTTACTGACGAGATTGTTTCTACCGTCACTTCAGCTTCCTCTAAGAGTGCAGTGTGGAAAAAAGTATGGATACTGAGTGGCAAATTCACTTTCCTCCAAGTCTGTCAAAGGGTTTAAGCCCTTAGACTTTTTTTCTATCAGAAAAGAGTCTTATTATGTGCCCTATACACTTCTGGAATATTCGTATGCTCCAGCATTTACGTCAGTCAGCCCTTGCAGTCCTCTTACAACTCTTTAATCTTATTTGGTCACAAGGAGCTCTTCCTCAGCTGTGGAAATCTGCCATTGTTCTCCCTTTTCGCAAACCAGGTACTACGGGACGTGATGCCTCACACTATCGTCCTATTGCTCCTACCAGTGCAGTTTGGAAAGTGATGGAACATCTGGTAAATAAACGTTTGATGTGGCATTTAGAGGCACACAATAGTCTCTCCACTAGTCAATATGGCTTTCGTAAGGGCCGACTCCCTACTTCGCTTAAATACGTATGTTCGTAATAACCACTCAGTTATCTTTTTTGACCTTGAGAAGGCATAGGACACAACTTGGAGATATAACACCTTGGCCCTGACCCACTCCTTAGGTCTCCAAGGAGAATCTGCCATTTTTCCTTAACAACTTCTTATCTGAGAGACATTCCATGTTTGGGTTAATAATATGCTTCCCCTGGACTTTGTCCAAGCTGAAGGTGTCCTCCAGAGATGTGTCCTGAGCACCACACTTTTTCTCCTTGTTATAAATGA